ATATATATATATATATATATATATATATATATATATACCAAGGTATCAAAAGTGTGAATCAAACAAGAAAGGAAATACACAAGCAGAGAGAGAGATAAATAAAAAATAATCATCTACACTATTTTTTTTTTCTTTTTTTGAAAGAGAAAGGAAATAATTGAGTGCTGTTACTGTTTCTCATCATTTATGAAGAGTACCCCATTTTGCTTTTCTTTGTCTCTATAATCCCCCAACCCCACTATAGTCATTTTTGTTAATTTTCTTTTTTCATTACTCCTTCATGTGGATTTCCCCGATTCTCCTCCTGCTGTTAATAACACATATCTCCACATCCAAGTCTGCCTCTAGTTATCTGTATTGTTATTTTTATTTTTGTAGAAAGTCTGGATCTACTAAGGTTACCGGCCCCCAATCTTCACAGTTTATAAACTCATCCAGTTCCGCCTCTGGTGTATAGGCTACAATAACATATTCCTCCCGTTGTTGTTCTTTTTGTTGTTGTTGTTGTTGTGATCGTCCAGCATCGTTTGCGGTTCCAATGACGGAGATGCATACCAAAAGTAAGAGGAGTGTCGTTACAAAGAGTGGTATAATGATAATTACACTCCACAGACACGATGGCCCACAGAAACGTTCTCGTGATGGTCCATTATCTGCCGTCTTTACAGATTGTAAAGCCACCGTGTCTGTGGGAAGACCACCATTGGCATAATAAATCTCCCGCAGTGGATTTATATCCGTACGTATGAGTTGTGCAATGAGAGAATCATCATTGGGTGCAATAGAGCCATTGCCCATCATACGCACAACAGCAAAATAAAGATATAATCCCATCGGCATAAGAGGAGTGATGATGATGGGGGTGGTTATTTGTGTGAGAAATATAGATATTATACCCGTAGGAGAAGGATAGGCATTTGTGTCTGGAAAGGGATGAAGGGCTGAGATGAGAATACAATGAAATGTATCCCCTACAAGCGTTTGAGAATTACTTTTATTATTAATACAATGGGTTCCGTTACGTTTGTAGATTGTATTATTATCACTATGATCATTATTACTACTTTGTATAGATAGACGATATATAACACGTCGCCATTGGTCACCTGAAATATATGCAGTGAACTCCGATTGTATAGGTACTGTATACTGTGGTTCTGCAGAAACTACCGTAATTGGTAGAAAGATAGAGACATCAGCAGCAATTAAAATAATAGTAATAAAATTCAAAAATAGAATAATACAGTACTGCATAAGGTGAATACACTATACTTAAAATTTCACTTGTTGTTGTTGTTTTGTTTTGTTTTCCCCCTTTCTTTATTTTTTTTCTTTATTTATTTATTTGCTTCAATACGTTTGTTCCTTTTTTTAATGTATCTGTAAACAAGATTAATACACGAAACGCAATGAAAAACAAAAAGAAAGAAAGAAAGAAAGAAAGAGAAAAAAAAAAAAAA